AATCAGTAATCATTTTAGTTTAGTCAGCAGGAAAACTGTTGGAGTTGTACTAATAATACTTTCATTTTCAGGTTACAGAGTCACAATAAAAACTTTCCTTTTGATTTCAAATCAAAACTTCAGTGGCTGTTTGTCCAATAAGTGAACAATTTCAGACACATAACATGTAAAACAGGGGTGCCAAACATAAGGCTCAAGGTCCAGAATCAGCCTGCAAAACACTCCAATGTGGCCTATTGAACGGCTTTTGAAATTTTGAAGGATGACATAAATTGTAGACTTTAGAATTCTTTTTTCAGCTTTTCCTACTGTAAAGAAAAGACGTTCCCATGACGATTCATACTACACCAATGGAAGTAAGTAATAGATAAACAATGAAATACTAGAAAGCTATAGGTTTTTTTTTTCAATATTTACTATACTAATTTCATATTTTCATGTTGCGTTAAAAAAATAAATTATCAATTAACAAAATTTTTTCTAATTTTCTAATTACAGTGTCCATTAGTCTGCACACTGAGCTAATGGAGTTTTTTCTATAATTTCACACATTTATTTCTTATAATTTAAGCCCAAAGCAGCATTTTTTAATCAAACAGAAAAACTGAGAATTCCCCCCCCCCCCCCCCCCCCCAAAAAAAAAAAAAAAAGAAAAAAAAAAAAAATCACAGTTCTTGTTCTTATGTTAAAATAGCTCAGTAATGTAAACTTAAACTTCTTTACACTGACAGAAAAGGGAGTTTCACTGGTCTTGCCCAGCTAAAATCAATGTAAAATAAGTTTGACATTCTTCATATAAAATGTAAAGTTTAATTTTCTGGTAAAAAATTACTATTAAAAAAAATAAAGAAAAATACCCTAAGCACTGGAGCCCAAAGCACAATTGAACACACACAGTCTAGTTTTAGGGGCTCCAAATTTATTCACACTTTTCCACCAAATCAGAAAAGCAGTGGTTGTATTTTCTGAAGCCTCGTACAAATACATGTGACCATTTCTGCAGAAGTACCCAGATGATATTTCTCTATCGGGTCACACTTGCACAAATTGAGCAACACAAGTCAAGACAAAACATGCTTCTTTCCTTGTTCAGCACAAAGGAGGTGAACATGGGAACTGATTTAAGAAATGGAGCATTTTCGGTAAATTAGGACAAAGGCCAGCATGTAAAAACATGTGGGGTTTGTCCAGGGGGTGTTTGTCTGCATAGTGGGTGATTTTCTGGCAGCACCTTTGAGTTTTAAAGAGAGAAGTTGTTTTTTGTGGGGGAGTTTTTGTGTGTGTTACTTTAATCAGTTACATTCATTATTAATACACTTTTGATTCTTCATGACTAAAATATCTGCCATTACCTGTGATGATAACAAACTAAAACTGATATTCTCTTGCTCTTTGAAAGCCCACTTATCAAAAAGAAAGAAAGACGAAAAACTGGTTTGTTTTCCAGAATAGCTGACTGACAGATCTTTATGTCACAATTACCGTTAATACTGCATAATACCCAGAACAGATGTCCGTGTTTCTGATGTTGGTGGGACCATATATACGAAAGTTACTTCTTCAGGATTCCTCGTGGTTGAGATTCTCAAATAAATGAATAAATGAGAAATTAATCCCTACTTTTAGTTTTTTTTTTTCCCCGAAGCATTTTTCTCCCTTGAGCCCAACTAACTGCAAAGATATCCTGGTGTCGCTTTTAATACATCATGCTTACAGTGCAGTATTGTGATAACATCATAATAGTGAGTAACGCATCATGATTGTACTGTAACATGAAATACTCCTTATCTTGACTTTTTTTTTTTTTTAAATGGTAGAAATCTCTTTAATATGTCACTTAAAAGTCGTATTTTCTTTAAATATTAAAGTAGTCCCTTGAAGGGGAAGTGAAACGGACTTTTTTCCATGCAGACCAAATGAAAACTCCACTTATTTCCTATCTACCCACAGATCAATAAATACCATGCTTATTTTTGAGGAACTCGGTCAGCTTTTACGATAAGATCGCCTCTGGAAATATTTTTAAAAAGTGACTAAAGCGAATAAAAGTCAGACTAAAAGCTTAGGCCGTCTGAACAGACAGAGAGGTCACATGGCAGTGATTACCTCAGATGAACGGATCATTCCTTATCAGGTAAACAAAGGCACTGAACCACCGGAAGAAGGCACGTTAAAAGTCTAGAGTAAACATTGGGGAAAGAGGGTAGAGTAAAGGATGGATTACCAGCTGTGTCCCATATTGAGATATTGTAAGGTCCCCATTGTTTGAGGAAAAATGCCCCTCCGACGGTGCTGACGGTCTCTTTGAACTTCCTCTCCATGTACCTGTGGAGCAGCGACGTCTTCCCCACGTTCATGTCTCCCAGGAGAACAACCTTGACGTCAGGCCTCTTCATCTTCGACACCTCGGGCATGACGCTGTCTTGTTCGGGTCCCGCTATTTTATTTCTCTGACGCTCGGAGCGAAGACGCGCTCTAACTCGTGAAAAACACCGCAGGCTGGTCGCGAATTCCTCTGACAAACGTCATTTTCTGAACGAAAGTTCACTTCTGATAACGTGTCTATCCGGTGTTAGCTCATTCTCAAATCTGCTGTCCAAGTCCGAACTTCAAAAAGTCACTGAGGTAAAACAGGAAGTAGATGACGAGCCGCAGACCAACAAGGAGAATTTGCTCTGAACCGTGTCTTCCAGGTGGAGGACGTGGGCGGCCTCTAGTGGACAGTGGGAACAAAATAATAATAATAATAATAATAATAATAATAACTGTGCCTAAGTCAAATAAGTTTAAGTGTATAGGCTGTATATGCTGCTGGGAAATAATCATAAATAAAAACTACTTAGTCAATATTGGTATTATTAAAAAAGATTGAGGGCAGCCTTTTGAGTAGGACAATTTTCCACACAATGACAAAAAAAAGGGACAGAGTTGCATTGAAACTACAAAGACCCCTGTCTGATTTTCTTCTTCTTCTTTCATTAAAATGCACTGACAGCAAATATTACATAATATACCTCTCCTCAAAGCATTCCTTATGGTTATATTTATGCCTTTAGTGTGGTGTTAGTAGCAGTCTCCAAGGCTTAAGTGTGATTTGAGTGGTCAAGCCTGAAGTTGTTTTATGCCTACCAGACAAAACCCAGGGAGAAAAGTAAAACTGTCTATAATTCCGATTTGTAATTAGTCGGTGGGCGGGTATTAGTTTTCAAACTAAGCATAACACACATTCTTCTGGGATTTTACACTCTCTTAGTGGTATACGTGTCGCTTAATTGTGTTTTTCTGTTAGTTTGGAGGATTAAAAAATATTTTTTTGTTGTCAGGCTGAGACAAATGGCTAAAAAATGCCAATGTGGTCTTTAAAATCTGGACCAAAAACATGATGATGATGATGATGATGATGATGATGATGATTATAATTATTAGCTGAGAAATAAATATTCATTCACTTTATGCCAATGGCCTGCCTAAAATGTAGACTGATATTTGTAAGAAAGTAAAAAATATTCAACAATCATGTTTCTGCTTCGATCGAAACATGTGATCTATTCACAATAAATATAACAATAACTAGAAGAAAGTTAGATAAACAGTTACAGTTACAAAATATTTTAATTTAATTTAAATGAAGACTTGATAAATAAAAATAGGCTACACTTTCTACGTAAAATATTTTTTTTGACATGCTTCTAAAATTATGTGTGTATGGAATCTCGTGCCTGACAGTTCACGTGTGTTCGCCTGTTACCACCTCTACACTTTCATAGTGCATAGTAGGACTGACCTCCTGAAGAGTTCTTTATGGCAGAGGGGTTGAATAATGAGTATTAAAAAATACAAAACTTCTAAAAACAGAGGCAAACAGACGGTTATACTTGCAATATGGCTGGAAAAAAAACTTAAAATCAGCACAAATAGATGAAAACTGCAAATAAACTTAAAAACATCTGCACCTTATTACTCTTCTGTGTGTATTTTGATGTGTGCTTCATTTTATTATGGAGGAGGGCTTGTTTCAGAATCCGGCCCTGCTGAAGCAGCGCATGCTTAAACCTGCTTCCGGTTTGATGGCTCGTCGACAGCAGATTTCACCCTCAGCCCACTTGGATGTAGGAGTGTCCGAGCAGCCTTTAAAGGCATCACACGCTTCCTGTAGTACTGCGCTGGGTTATAGGGCGCCTCATGATCAGGCTAACTTGCGTTCACTTGTCGGCGTTGAAGCGCAGCTCCAGTTTAGGTAAGGACAGCTGAGTGCCACAGAGGGCTGTGCAGCCCGTGATAAAGCTCCGAGAGTGGGTGACTGCAGTCAGACAAACAATGAGAGCATGCCTCAACAGATTCAAGCGCTCGCTTTTTGCTCGATCCCAGTTGCACTGTCGCTTATCGCCGCCTTGGCCTGTTTAAACGAGAAAGGTAAAAGAGACTGACGTTATCTCAAAGTTTTACTTCATTAAAACTTAGCTTTAGACTGTAACGTTAGGTGAGCCGTTAGAGTCGTCCAGTGCTCTCCGTGTTGGCCGAGCAGCTGACAGTTTGGCTCGTTGTTGAGGTGTGGTGGGTCTCTAGGACCCCGCAGAAATGCGTTCGCGGGGCGGGGGACCAGGCGGAGAAAGGTGAAGTTAACCTCAAAGGACTGATCAGAGGTCAGTTTGGACATTTACTCGATGTAGTGTTACCGCTTGAAAACGGCTCTTGTAGCCGATCTTCTGTCGGTTTATCCCAGAGCTACGCATTTTGACGACACGAATGAGATAAACACAGAAGGCTAGGCTTTTAGCTAGCTAACAAATAGTTTGACCTGCACACGTTGTGATGATCTTCAAGTTTAAGACCAAAATTATTACCCCGGCTGGTCCTTCTGAGCTAGCGAAATGGCCGTTTGTCGTTGTTTGGGCTGACGGTGGTCCGCGGCATTGATGCGGCTGAGCGCAGAGACCCAGAGCAAACGGCCGTCATAATCCGCAGTGTCAACATCTCCAATCAACTTATTCCCCGGGGTGGAGGTTACGCCGGGAGACGGCCTGTTTTGGATCAGCTATGCAAGCGAACACAACGCGGGGCTTCCTCTGGTCGGACGTGGAGACGAGGACGCTGCTGAACATCTGGGGAGAGCAGGACATCCAGGCGGCGCTGGATGGAAACTTCCGAAACAGCTTCGTGTACCGAGACGTCTCCCGGAGGCTGGGAGCCATGGGGTTTGAAAGGACGCCCGAGCAGTGTAGGGTGCGGATCAAGAGCCTCAAGAGGCAGTACTTGTTGGCGAAGGAGGGCAATCTGCGTAATAATGGGCAGTATCACAAGATCTGCAAGTTTTATGACACCATGGAGAGGATTTTGAGTAACCGGCCGAGTCTGGACGCCCAGGAGTTTATAGACAGCGGTGCGGGAGGAGAGGAGGCCGTCGATGGCCCGGAGGAGGATGGGGAAGATGCTCAGGATGCTTACTCTGAGAGCACAGGGGAGTGTCCTTATCCCGCTGAGACTGAAGTCAAGTTGGAATACCCAACTGTTCCCATCCCCATTCCGGTTAAAGTGACAGTGGGGAATAATGGTGAGTCCAACCTTATCCACTATCACTTTTTCGTGGCTTTATCATGTTTCAGTGCCTCGAGTGTGACTCGAGTATGTGTGCTAACATAATGTCACACCCTTCTCCACTTCAGGGACTTGTGCGAAGCCGCCTAACACCAGCCAGTCGGCCAGCTGTTTGTCAGCCAGAGCACCCAAACGGCCCAGGAAGCGACGCGCCAATTTCCCCATGGAGAAGCTGATGGAGCAGTTCCTGGAGCAGAGCGCCCAAGCCGAGGACAACTTCTACCGAATGGAGGAGCAGCGCTTGCAAGCAGAAGACCGGCGCCGGGAAGCTGAGCATGCCCGGGAACTGCAGATGCTTCAGATGCTTGGTCAGATGTTCGCCAGCATCTCCTCCTCCGGCTCAGCATCCGCTCCGTCCAAGACGGCGAATCCTGGCCGCGCTCCGGTCATTTCCAGTACCTCCCCGTCGCATACACGTGGCCACTCCGGTCACCCCAAACGCCCTTCGCCCCAGACAGACTCTCTCACACAGCAGAATCCATTTCTGAGCGCAGACCCTCAGGCGTTAGGTATTTAGTTCCGGCGCTACGCGTGAAGCCTTGATGTGGAGAGAAACCTGAAGGCAGATTAGCTGTAACGTGAAAGATCACACTCAGTTATTATTCTTATTTTGGATCGTGTTAGTGTGTTTTTGTTGTCGACCACAGTGGTTTGAAACTAGCTCGTACGCTGAACACTCTCACTTTGTTTATCTCCTCAGTTTTTGAGCGCTTCTACGGTTTGGGCTCCACGTCGCACAGAGGTATGGAGGATGACATCCTGCCACTGGTAAAGAACATAGTCCCTCCGCTGACATCCAAAAAACACAAGGGACAAGATGGACGTATTGGGATCATTGGAGGATGTCAAGAGTATGTTGCATAAAAGATTCCTGCATGATTTAAAAGAAAAAAACAAATTCAGTGGAACATTTGCCCTAATTTCTCTTCATCTCTAATCTCTAAAGCTACACTGGAGCTCCTTACTTTGCTGCCATCTCTGCTTTAAAAGTGGTAGGCAGTAAAGCTTGACTATCAATTTTGTCCATTCATTTTTAAAAAAAATTTTTCTAATTGTATATTGTATATACATTTTTTTTCTCATCTCCAGGGGGCTGACTTGTCTCACGTGTTCTGCACCAAAGATGCTGCAGTTGTAATCAAATCATACAGCCCTGAGCTCATAGTCCATCCAGTTCTGTAAGTACAGAGCCAATAATAATCTTTCTGTAGTATTTGAAGTAGCTGGTAGCAGTTGGATCATTGAGAGTGCAATGGTGTGTATTTATTAGCATTATGCACTGGTATTTGGATGCATTCACAAATGTTACACAGTGTGTAATTGCAAGCAAAAACATCAAAGTTTACCCAGGCTTTGTGGCGAGGCATAAGATTTTCAAAATAAATAGTTGCGCACGTTTTCTTTTTTTGTTGTGAGTTGTAATGTTATTTGGAGCCAAATTCTGCATTTCACTATCATCACTCTACTCCGTTGTATTAAACGTTGCATGTTATAATTAACACGCTGCTTTCTCACAATGATTCTGTAATCACTGTCCTAAATATTTAAATTTCTGACATTTGTCAGATCATGAACAGGTAGTGTCATAATTCTGGGTATTCTGTCAGTGTGACAGTACAAACCTTCACAGCTCACGCTTACTTGTCGTGGCTGGAGCGGCTTGGGAACCTTACAGTAACATTAATGACTGCGTTTCAGTTTGGTGAGCCTGTGCCAGTGTGCTCTTAGAAAGCCATTATTAGCTTGTAATAGCAAAAAAATGTTAAAAGGCTCATTTCTCTACAAGAGGCACTTACAGAAAACATTAACATCGACTGCTTTCTATTTGTTTGCTCACTTCAGAGACCCGTTACAGTGTTATCAGTCTTCACTTTGTGTGTGTGTGTGTGTGTTTTCCTTGCAAACTAATTGGAAAATTTGGGATTAATTGTGCATTCCAGCATGTCTGACAATCTGTGTGTATGTGTGTGAATGAAGGGACAGTCCTAACGCAGTGGAAGAAATAGAAAAATGGCTTCCAAGACTACACGGACTTGTGGTGGGACCAGGCTTAGGAAGAGAAGACTTATTATTGAAAACAGCAAAGGCACGTGGAGCACATTCATTCTTCCTTGCGCTTAACACAGTCTCGGCTACTCTGCTAGATACTTCTGCATAAGCATGGCAGACTAGTCTTATTGCTAGCACTTGTTATAGCACAAGTGTTACTGGTGGCTGATAAATTACTACTTCTTTTTTTCCCCCCACCCCAACGGAAGGCTTATTAAAGACAGACCCTGTGCTCTCTCTCTCTCTCTATTTCAGGAGGTCATTGAGAAGTCGAAAGCAAGAGATATCCCCATAGTCATTGATGCAGTAAGTCTTGATAAAATAAAGTCCCAGATGTGGAGCGGAAGGTGTTTCATTTGCTAAGTCATACATAGTGTGTGTGATCATTCTTAACAGGATGGATTATGGCTGGTTACACAGCAACCATCTGTTATCCAAGGGTACCAGAAGGGCATCCTTACGCCTAACTTCATGGAATTCACTCGATTGTATGAGGCATTGGTAAGTTTCTTGGCACAATTCAGTCCCACTCACTAGTTGACAGCAAATAACATGTGATCCTCTATGCTGATGTGTGTCTTTTTACGTTGTCTGTGTGCATTAGCACCATGAGCCCATGGACAGCAGTGATTATCAGCGGAGCGTCATGCAGCTCAGTGTAGCTATGGGCAACCTCACCTTGGTGCTGAAGGGGGAGCAGGATTTCATCACAGATGGCAGCAAAGGTTGGCATCAAACAGAACGTGCTTTAATTTCTTCCGGCTGATCGTTCACTCTGTTTATTCTCAGATGCTTCGGAGCTCCTTTTGTGACGCTGTGTCGTGTGCTTCTGTTTGTAGTGTACTCATGCAATTTAGAAGGCAGCGGGAGACGATGCGGTGGACAGGGGGATCTCCTTTCTGGATCTATGGGAGTGCTGGCACACTGGGCCCATGCTGCTTCCACAGCAGGAATGATCAGAAGGTGAAGGCATGATTTTTGCTTTTTGTGCTATGTTTTTTTTTTTTTTTTTTTTTGCCTGTCCCATTTGGTTCTTTAGCCATCAGAATTGTTGTCTGAAAACCAACAAGGATACCCAATGGATTTACTTTACCAAATGGATCATCGTGGCATTGCCGTATTGGTCCATTTGGTCGATCTTTGTTTTTATTATTTATTATATTTTATTTTCAGATGTTACAGACGGGACAGACATGCGTGAGGGATAGGAAAAGAAAGAGGAAGGAAAGGAAAAACAGAAGGGGAGAGGGACAGTGAGAAAGGGGGGGAGAAAAAAAAGTAAAAATCTCCTGGATCACCTGTTGAGAGAAGAATAGAAAACAAGCAAAAAAACAAAAAAAACAAAGCAACATACTAAACACAACACCATCGCATTAATCTAGCTAAGTGTAAACAGCAGTAAATACTAAATATTCAATGTTGTTGTGCAGCACGCAGGACAGTTGTGCTTCGAAGTAGCGGCCAAGAAAGGTGTAATTTAAGTCTACGAGCAGTGAACACCCGTGTGCATACCTGTGTGGATCAGCGTGCTTGTATTCCAAAGGTTTCTCCATGTAACGATCTGCTAGGGAGTGTGGAGGGGCCACAGCCCCGTCCTCCAGGGTATGAAGCAGGTATGGAGGAGATCAAAACTCCAGATATCCAGAGGCCCCCAGAACACAAGAGACCATGGAAGACCAACAGAGGGGCAGCCGCGCCACTGTCCCAGTAAGAGCTGAGGAGAGTCCCAGATGAGGGTTCACTCAGCAGCCGCGGAGCAGAAGCTAGGGGAGTTGCAGTGACGCGCCCGTGAGCTCCGCCGGCAGCCAGCTGTGCCTGAGTGACCGAGCCCCAGGCCGAGAGGCCGGGGGCACCCCACCTCCGAAGTGGACCGAGCGAGCCCCAGGTTCCAGGCCCCGATAAGCGGCCGCCAAGGAGTGAGCTATGTTTGAATGAATGTATAGGCCAAGCTTTTCAGGGCTCAATGGATAAAAAATAGTTTTTTTTAAATATATTTACACACATTACCTACAGAGTGCACTGATTTACATGCTGAGAGTGTATAAAAATTATCACCAAACGTTCTAACCACTTCTCTCGATGATTTTTTTGGCTTTTCCTATGTAATGAATGCATAAAGTGTGATGTTGCACAGAGAAATGTACATGTTCACTTTATTTGGATGTATATTCTCTCTTTTTTCTCCCCCTTCTTCTTTCCCTTTCCTCCCCTATAGTATGAATCCATCAGTGGTTGCTGCATTTGGTGCTTGTTCGCTCACCAGGCAGTGCAACAGTCAAGCATTCCAGCGGCACGGCAGGTCCACCACCACGTCAGACATGATCCAGGAGATCAGCTCAGCCTTCAAAAAGCTGTTCGAAAGCTAAAAACAGTCAGCGATGCAAACAGTTGTAAAAAGAGAATAAATTTTACGCTCCTAACGTAACCTTTTTGGGATTGAAAGCAATGTTCTTCTTTAGCTGAATTTTAATGACTGATTTGAACCCGGAATCAAAATTTGGTGCAAAATATACACACTGACATGTTGTTTGTGTTGTGTTTAATGGAAAAGTAACAAAAAGAAAACCACTAGTTGAATAATGAATGCCTTCACCAAGCCCACCAAAGAGACTGAGACATTAGGATGAATGGGCTCACACTAAACCAGAAACCTGTATACGTTTTGAAATAAATTATAAATGTGATTTTGTTTGTTTGTTTGTTTGTTTGTTTCGACAAAGTTCTTAAAAGCCATCATGGAAGTATTACTGGGTGGGTGACTGCAGAAAACGTGACTTTTATAGAGTCAGTGGGGAATATTAACTTGTAAAGTCCATGAAAACCGATACCTGCTGGACAACAAAGTGTTTTGGTTGGTTGCAGCATCGTAAACCTAAAAGCAGAAGAGTGAGGCGTGTGTGATTCGTGTAAAGTATGCGGCGCATGCGCATACCTGAATTATCCGACAGCTAGCTCCGTTGTTGCGAGTCCACCGTAGTTACACACACACACGCACTACCTAGCGTTAGCAACAAGACCCACAGCAGCATCACAGAGTCTGTAAGGTTAACTCGGAGTATTCACAGGTAAGTTTACTCACCCTCCGCTTATATGGCAACTGAATGTGTGTGGCGAGGTATCTGCTCTGTATTTCCGTAAGGATTGGAGCTGAATTTCGTTTAGTATTGTTATAAGCTAGTCGGCTAATCCAGCTAACAGACACGCCGAAGCCAACGCGTAAAGACCACTTTAAAGTGCCAAAGCAGTAAAAGACCATTCTGTTTGTCCGCGTTGTGTTAGCTAGAATTGTCCGTAAATGTTCAGTGGGTGCTTAATGTGTTGAAGGTGAAACGTATTCACTTCGGTGACCGTTGTTCAAAGCGTTGTTTGCAGTGTTGGGGAGTAACGGAATACATGTACCGCCGTTACGTATTTAAAATACAAAATATGAGTAACTGTATTCCGTTACAGTTAACGTTTAAAAAGGTGGTATTCAGAATACAGTTACTTTGTTGAAATAAATGGATTACACGGCGGTACTTTCCTGTTTCATATTGTCGCGGGTCAGGACTGTTTGAGTTTTGTTTGACAGCTACGTGCTGTTGTTCCAGGCGGCAGCGTTACGGTTGCCATGGTTACAGGGCGACGCTCTCTCTCTCGCTGCGATTGTGTGTTTCCTGGGTGAGAGAGAGCGCCTTTTCGTTGTTGTTGTGCTAAGCTAACGGGCAGAATGCTACAAGCATAGCTCTAAAGAATGTAGCATCGTGGGCAGTGTAGTCCGTGCTGCAGGGAGAATGGACTGCCATACACGTTATGTGTCTGTGAGCGCGAGGAGGGAGAATAACGTTTACACCGTAACTTTAAGCTAGCACCATAAAGACGGTAAAACACGTAATAATATCTACAAATGCATCTTAAAGCTGTTATATTAGCACTCTGTGTATTACTAACATAACCACATTAACATTACTGACACTCGCTGCCTTTTAATAGTCATTCTATAAATGCTGTCCGTGTAAATGGTCTTACCTGTAAACACTGCATATCCACCGGATTCCAGCCAGAGTGGATTCTGGAGTCTTCCACGCTCCTGTTAGTGATCCTCCATCTGGATGGATGAGAACAACCTTCTGAACAATCTAGCAGGAGATGGCCCATATCTATGGGACTGATTTGTGCCAATAACGCCCATTGTATGGACTGATAACAGCCGAAGTGGGTGAATAAAGTCACCCAGTAGCTAGCTGTGCCATTACCCAGCATACATCACTCCCTCCATAAATGCAATAAACCATACAAAAGTATCGTTCTACCTGTTTTTCAGGTAGTTGTTTACATTATATAATTTATTGTGTTCAGTATACGTCACTACAATGTGATTTCGGAAATATACGGACAACAGGCTCTTCCGCGGCAATCTCTTCAATCGGAGGACCCTTCACGTCAATTCCCGACGCGAGGGGGGTACGCTGCGCGTCCATAAGTGCAGCAGAGGGAGCCTGACCATGCGTCACACGTTTAACGAGTTGGGAGTGAGAACGTGTTGACCACACCGATAAAATATATTTGCTGTTTTAATAACGTTTAATTTCCACTGTATGAGCTCATCTTGTGTTACATCCTTGAGAGAGAGAGACCTGCGGCTGCCTCCTTCCTTTGGCTCCTTGGGTGTCTTTATCTGAGCATCACTTTTGCTTCCACTATGACGCCCCTGGTAGCAACATTTAACTTTCAAGGCTGTTTACAATCAGAAAAAAAGTCTCAGTTTTGAGCGTAATCAGCTCTTAGTTATTCTGACCTCACCACAGCGCCATCGACACGACGTCTGTGTGCAGACTCATGACCGTCATGTCACACGTAGTAGAACACATGAGAGAGATGCTGGTTCATCACAGCCATAAATATGTTACAAATGAAGACATTTCACTATGTTCAGATACCGGATTTAGTGCTACATGTGGTATTTTAATAGAAAAGGCTGCGAGACAGTGTTTGGATCCCCGTTTTTTCATGTTGTCTGCAAATCTCAAAAGTGAGTGTTAAACTTTAACCTTACCTGTTCGCTGCAATAAAAATACAGATTTGTTAAAAAGTTATGTTTGTTATAACAGTAAGAATATGCTTACCTAGTTTTGCTATGAACATTTGTAATTGTCATGGTCCTGGGTTGCTGAATCAGTGTTTTGAGTTTATTTTCTAGTTTCTTCTGTTTTTGTATTCGCTCTTAGGGGCTGGGTCTTGTGTTTAGTGTTTCTGTTATCCCTTCCTGTTTCCTTTCCTGGTGTTCTTATTTTGAATGGTAAATGGCCTGGATTTATATAGCGCTTTACTAGTCCCTAAGGACCCCAAAGCGCTTTACATATCCAGTCATCCACCCATTCACACACTGGTGATGGCAAGCTACATTGTAGCCACAGCCACCCTGGGGCGCACTGACAGAGGCGGGGCTGCCGGACACTGGCGCCACCGGGCCCTCTGACCACCACCAGTAGGCAACGGGTGAAGTGTCTTGCCCAAGGACACAACGGCCAAGACTGTCCAAGCCGGGGCTCGAACCAGCAACCTTCCGATTACAAGGCGAACTCCCAACTCTTGAGCCCCAAGATTAAGTTAACTTTCGTTTATGTTTGAAATTATTGGGTTGATTTTTGTTTATATTTTTCAACGAAATAAACGCCAGAACTTAAAAGGCCGTGACACTGGTACTCATTTCTTGTCGTCTCACTGCCCTCGTTCTTTTCGCCTCCGTGCTCCCCTGGTTCATCTTCGCTCACTTCATCTGCACTTGGCTAGTTTTATTCTTCTTCGCTTGCACAGCCAAGACGAACTTCATGGAAAGTCCTTGTGGAGAATGGCTTCATCGAGCCACTGTTGGCCTCATTTGGTATTTCGACTGGTTTAATTTTGCCGAGGTGAAGACGCGGTACAGGACTGCGCCGTTTCACCGGTTTATACTGAGTGATATTTGCATCCTCTGTGCTGTGTGGTGCTGGAAGATGAGCACACATCCTCCTGATTTTGTGAAAGAGCCCGTGTCAGCTTTAATTATTGCTGCCAGAATCTCCTCCAATGATTACATCCCGCGGTTAAAGGATTTTTCTGTTGTTTATTGTTTAGTTTAACTCTTGTTAGCTTGCCACATTCTTGCCTTAGTACTAGCAACTGGGAAGATATGTGCTATTTAGCCAACTTCTGGTCTTACAGCGACCCCTTGTGGACCCTACTAATTATAGTATTACCTGTTTCTGTTTCCAGACAACCATGCTTATAGTCACCTATACTGCATCTGCCACAATTATAAGTGCATATCTGGCTGTATCACGGTTGGATTAATCATGGCAAGCCCTGCTGTAACCAGTTCTTCTGTGAAGCTTCATTAAAGACGGTGAACTAAACTCCTGGACTGCTGCAGTCTTTCTGACCCAAGACTTAGGCCAGACTTGTATACCCAGCACTTCCAGTTCATATATATTCTACACAAATGTTTATCAGTTGAAGAATCAGACTCCTTTTAAACATTATATTTGTACTAAATGTGTATGTAAATATGGTGTCTGTATATTTAATGCCTATATTTGTGACTGTGTTTCTGTTGTAGTTTATTCCTGTATGAATGTTAAATACTTGACTGAAAGTATTCAAAATGTATTTGCATTGCTTTACAGAAAAAGGGAAAAATCGTAGGACTGTGGGGGAAAGAGTGATTACCTCAGTTAAACAACTCGTGTAATTATATTAGGTTCATCTTTAAGGAACTCTGCATGTCTCCAAACAGCTTTGAATGTCTTTGAAATGAGAATAATACAAATAGAAAAAGAAAAAAAGTGGACACATGCAGACAAAGTAAAGAGATGAATATTCAGTAAGCTATAAAGATTCAAAGGTCTCTCAGTTTTTCTCAAATGTGTGTGAGGACTGCTTGTTTGTATTCTTGGATGCACTTAGTAAATCCAACAGCTCAGCTATTTGTTGTTTGTTGTTTTTAAAAGTTGCAGGAAGAACAAACTTCTTAAATAGTAAATGAAACAAAGCACAAATGCAAAGTTGTTGTTTTTTTTCATTTTTATTTTTTTATTTTTTTTCTGTTTTTTAACTCAAAATGTCCTGTTGTAACTGGACTTTTTGAGTTAAGAAACAGACCAAATCTCAACAACACTTCCCTCATGGTGCTTTATAATGTAAAGTCAAGACCCTACAATAATGCACAAAGACTCCAATCCCCTAGAGCAAGCACTTTGGCGACAGTGGGAAGGAAAAACTCACTTTTAAAAGAGAGAAACCTCCGGCAGACCCAGGCTCTAGGATGGGGTGGCCATCTGCCTCGGCCAGTTGGTGATGAGGGAAGGAAGTTGGGAGAAGAAGAGTAGTGATTTTTAACCACTCTGGTTTCAAAATTAAATTTAGAAAGCCCAATTGAAATGAATATTCACATGCACGTGTTGGTTCGACTTTAGCGTGCACATGAGAAAGCCCTAAAGATGATGTTTTGGCTCCTCAATTTTGCATGTTTTTTGAAGCTGCTGACGATTGCTTCATCCATTACTGGGTTTCTTGACCACATTAAGAGCATTGGAGAATCCCACCTGTCATGGAGTTCATTGTATATTGTCAGGGCGAGTTCTCCAATGTTCTCCAAGGACATTTTGTACTTTTTTGACAAAATTTTGTCCCAGATCTTCTGGAAAAGCCTCTCTACAATAAACTC